CAAAGATGCCCGGGAGACAATTAAATCTTGTTCTTCAAGCTCTTCTCATTCGAATGCCAGTGGTATGCCAATCAAATGCCAATGCAGCCGAGCCAGGGGTGGAGATTCAGATTCACTACTGCGAAAGTCTTGATAGACTGAAAAGTGCTCTGCTCCCGGTAGAAATGGTGAATGAGAGTCCAGGAGAGGACTCAGGTGTTGGTGAGAAGGAAGAGAGTCCCAACAAGCGTAAACACGCCGTCATCACACGATTAGCACTGCCACCCGTCCGTACGCATCAATGTCGGACCCCAAATTTGGATTTCAACCCCATGGGTAGCACAGTCGGGACTTTACTCTTAAATATGTCGAAATCAAAGCCGTTCTCATCGCGCATGGGGGCCGAAGCGGCAGATGCCGCACAGTACTTGTAGTACGGCGAGGTAGTTGTAGTACGTATATTTCTCGAGTCTTGGACGCTAAATCTTTCCCGGGTGGAACTATCACCAGCGCTTTAAAATCTGCCAATTAATTGCTCGCGGAGGTGCTAATACCAAGGAAGAAAAACTCCACTGGCAAGAGAAATATACATGGAAATTGATCAAACAGCAGTCCCAATGTCGGACTCGGAGGGCTGTTAACACTGTCAGCGCTGTTCAAGTAGAGATAGAAAACATACATCCAAGCCCTTCATTTCAATGTGATCATGCAATGCTGCGTCCGACAAAGCGTTCCGGTCCAGTGTGACCATGTGCGCGTCGTTTGTACCAGTTGGGCGCATCCCCGGAGTACGGGGATAACTGGTGGTCGATGGACGGTCCGTGGACACCGCTTCAGTTCCACGTCCACCTACGATTTGGAAGCGTGCATTCAAAACCACCAAAATACAGTTGGCATAAAGTTTTGGCAGCATCGCAGTTGTTGCTGCGTAGTAGGTGCGGCCAGGAAGGGCGATGAAGAGAGTGAAATTCGTGATGGCCACCAAAGCTGCGTGGAATCAATGAACGAGCCTTTAGACCCTTTAGCGAATAATCCAGACCCGTCAATGTTCCTGTCTCTACGGTTAATCGCATCAACTTTGAAACAAAGGCGCGTGTCTGGCGGAATGCTGTGACTTTTTGGGACAACTGGAACGGGAATCGGGTCAAAATCTGGCCTTCGTACGAGGAAAACTCACATAGTATGTCATAAAAACAGCAATGGTGATGTCGCTCAACGCTGAGCCTCCGTTCCAGACCTGGAAAATAATGATGACAGGTTAGTTTTTCCTCTTTTTACAGCACAAACATACCCCGGAAGATATGGAAACCTTTCGAGTGTTCAGCTGTGCGAAATTGCCAGCTGTGGATTGCTAAACTAAGCGAAGTGCGGTGTGATGAGGTAGAATACCACACCTTCCAAGCTAAAGGCACCCGTCACGAATGCACCGATACTGCTCGCCAGGGACACCTGGATTTTTTTGTGAATAATCTGTATGCGCAGAAGGTATATAGGCTTACGACCACGATAAATACAGGAATAAACCAAGATTTCGATAACACGTAAAGACGGTGGGCGTAGAACGATTGACCAATGAAACCAACTAGACACAACGTTAATGGGGAGCAAGTCACCCTGGGCCCGAAAATTACCTAGTCCGCTTGTAACAGGAAGATCCAACCAGCCGAGGTTTATCTTGCTGGGTGCTGAAATGTCACCAAAGCCGTATCCGAACGTTTGAAATGCGTCGTGAGTTAATAAAATCGTCTCCGCCAACTCGATGGTGTATACGATATAAACCAGGCACTTGGTTCCCAGCCTGTCGTTGGGGAAGGCCTGATAATAAAGATCTGGAGTGCTTCAGAAGATATCCGGTTGGACAAGGTCAAAGGCGGCTTACACAATTGAACCGACAGAGCACCGAACAGTCCCCAATGCAAGAGATAGGACAAAAGCTGCGAGTGGTATTTAATATGTAGGGCACAATCCACCAATTGAAGTTACCAGTGGTCCTGAGCTACGGATCGTTAGCGGCATTAATGCCACAAGAGGAATGGTACTGACAAGTCCACGATCAGGAAGCCAGGGGGAGGGCCTGCAACAGGATCCATGGTGCTGAACGATTCTTTGCGAGGGAAAGAAAAATCAGGTTCACAAAGCAGTTGATTTAAATGACCTTGAGCCCATCTCACGTCCGTGGAATCGTCGTCGCGGATACTGTTCCTAATGTTCGATTTTGAGCGGGACATGAGAAAGCCGGGGGCGAGGGGTGGTCATCGGATGCGAATTTCGGCATCAGAACTGAATCCCAGATCATGCCACGCGGAAATCCGCGAGAGATTGTTGGCTGACAGACGGATTGTGAGAGAAGACGAGAAGATGGTGATGCCACTAAAAAAACTGTCTCATTTCGAACCTAATTTCCAGCGTTAAAGATAAAAGCTCATCTTTTGAGTATCTTTGGGGTGCCGAATTGTTAGGGTTGGTCGCTCCCAAGCATGTTTTAGAGAAGATCATACAGCGTCTGAGAAGGTTCATTCGTTAAGGCCAAAGGGAGAATTTGAAGCGCGACGTTCGCGAGCTTGTGTCAACCAGAAGAGATACTTCGAAGATTAACATTTAGAGTGGGCGAAGAAGATGGTGACGGCCGCTCATCGGCCACCAGGTGGGATAAAGTTATCAATACACCGTTGATGATAAATTTCAGAAGACTGACCAGGGCGCGCATGGGTCTGCCTGTACTGTTAGTACCAGTATGAGACGTGGCACTAGAGGCACTAGAGGCAATTCCGCAACTGAGTCACAGGCTCCTATGGCAAAACATTGAGGAAGGAAAACGGTATCAAAAGGGGAGAACTCACAGAATCAGGTCGGCCGCCGAATGCGATATGCCCACGGTCGTGTGAATATGAACAATTTTATTGGCCACTGGCCGGTCAATCAAATCTTAGTTGCGAGCTAACGCTCTGATGTCAGCTTGTACCCCTCCGTTGGTCCTGGCGTTGGCGTTATGTACACCAATCTTTCATTTGCAATCATCTGTTCTGTCGGGAGTGCACGAAGCGACAAGGAGGATTTGCCGATGTGGTACGACGATTTCGTAGCCTGATAAAATCCATCAGGTCCCGAGAAAGGCCGAGAGCTCGAAAAAAAATGACATTGCCAAAGCTATCGGTACTGTGAGCCCGCGACGCTCGATGCTTGGTTTCTGATAAATCAGATACTAAGAGCACAAAATGACCTGGCACTGGCCGACAACTTCATACCCTATAATAGCCCCGAGGGAAGTCAAAAATAAGACCACTGAGAGCGAAAAGCATTCGTTCACCTTCAACTAGGCCGTCGGCAGAAATTGATAAATTAACCGAACCTCATTCTCTCTGCGACCAAAAGTTTCTAGGCTACACGGTGAGAAGGACCTTCCGATGTTCGACGACGGTTGCGTTGCCCTTAGGTCAAGTCAGAAAAAAAGGATGTTGAGAGTAAAACAAAGTTTTAGACCCCCGTGCTATGCCGTCGGGGGGGATTCGAACCCGTGCCTTCTGCGAATGAAAGCAGGCTCGCAAGAAGGATCTCCATTAGGTTTTATGCAAATCTGTTAAGAACTGACTGAGTTATGGGGAATTCCTTGGAAACATCCCAAACAGGAAAAAAACCAACCGCGTACTACCATCGGCTGTAAAGTCCACGGAATTGCAACGCCTCGCGGCTCCCCTGTACGCGTCCTCCTGAAGCCGCAGCTGACTGGATGGTAGAATACAAACTTTTTAGATACAACTTCGGTGTCCAGGCCAGTAAGACATGAACGTAAACATTTCAAACGGGAACTGCAGGGGTTGGAGCCATAGTAGATGGAATCGGTGCTGCTGCCGCTGCCGCCGCCGCCGCCGCCGCCTGCTTCTTCTGGGTTCTGTGAATCCGCCAGCACCGCCAAATCATGTTCAAATGATACACGGCGAGAAGGGCCGCGAAAATGCACAACAGTTCGGGAAGCCAAGCGAGGGGTATGCTAGTAATGCTACAGCCAATAAGAATGCGAAGGTCATGAATCAGCGTACTCACTCTTGTGTGAGAGATATGGCTACATATAAGCACACATATCTGACGGCGGCTTGAATAAGTAATGCGGAAACAGAGCAGTGCAGTAGATGGGATACGCGTACCCCAAGTCCAGGACACACAGGAAGCCTGGGAGGTTTGAACGTCAGACGAGTTATCTCTTCTAAAGCGGGAACGGGATTTGTACCATGGCTAATGTGGGGTCGGGTCAGTGGATGAGCTATTACGTTCCAACAAAGCACGTACATCTTCGCGGCCGTGAGCGGACTCCGTGCACGTGGGGATGGCATTTGAGGTCTAGCGGGGTGAGGAGGAAGCTGGATGTGAAGAGCATCGATATCAGCGAGACTTGCCTCTTATCTAGGTCTAGATAACAAGGCAGTGCTTCGCGTCAAGCAACTCCCTCATTGCATCCGCGCATCAGCAGCTTTTAAATGTATGTAAGAATACTTCCGCTGATAGTGCTGTAAAGGTTGTGTAAAGGCAGTGGCAGAGTTGCTGGGAACCCACGGTATCTGAGTTGCTTGGGACATCCGCATACGCGTCATTGTTAAGCTACATTGTAAGAACCTGTGCGACGCTGTAGAACCCCGCAGTTGGGTTAAGAAACACTAAAAATCAATGCAGCCGCCATATGCCGTCGAGGGAGTCGAACCCCCATTGTTCCTGGATGACAGATGAGACATCTCGAGAATGACCTGCCACTGGTCGACAACGGCTTTACAGCCTGCAATTGCTCTCAAATAAGTCAAATGGAAATAAAGCTCGGGAGCAAAAAGATACGAATCCTTGCAGCGCATACCGTCGGGAGGAATCGAACCCCCGTCTTTCCCCATTGCAATTCAAGAACTTCATAAGCTACGTTGCGAGATTGATCTGCCACTGGTCGACGACGGCTTCCTATCCCATAACCTCCTCCGAATTAATGCAGGCTTACGCATGAGGTGGAAGCTGGGAGAAAAAAGAGCTCGATCTCCTGCTTATGCCATCGGGAGGAATCGAACCCCCGTCTTTCCCCATTGCAATTCAAGAGCTTCATAAGCTACGTTGCGAGATTGACCTTCCACTGGTCGACGACGGCTTCCTATCCCGTAACCTCGCCCGAATTGATTCAGGCTGGCGCACGAGGTGGAAGCTGGGAGAAAAAAGAGCTCGATCTCCTGCTAATGCCATCGGGAGGAATCGAACCCCCGTCTCTCTCGTGTAGGAGGACGTGCTTGGTGACCTACGTTGCGAGATTGACCTTCAAGTTCCACTGGTCGACGATGGCTTCGTAGCCTAGAATTTGCCAGAGGTAAGTTGCGCAGAAACGGGTGGTTAGAAGGCAAAAAAAAACTTTTGCTTTTGCCCGGTGTTATGCCGGCGAGGGGAGTCGAACCCCCGGCTCTCTCGGATGACCTGGGACATGTGCCACATTGCGAGAATGACCTTCCGCTGGTCGACGCCGGCTTCTTATCCTATAATTGACTTGAAATAAGCCCGGACAAATAGTACACGCTGAAAAGACACTTCAGCTCATCGCCGCAGAGGGAAGTCGAACCCAGCTTTCTCATGTAAACGGGGGCATGGGCGTTACGTCTGAGAATGACCTGCCACTGGTTGACGACGGCTTCCTACCCTGTAAATTCCCGAAATCAGGGGAGATAAAGAAAATCGCTGAGAACAAAAAAAAAGCTTTCCAGCAAATTCCGTCGAGGGGAGTCGAACCCCCGTCTTTCTCCGATGATTTCGCTGGGAACGTAAGCAACGAGAACGACCTGCCACTGGTCGACGACGGCTCTGTTGCTCAAAAATGTGGAGCGCTACGACTAGCAGAAAATCCGCAGTGCCACGGCCTCGCGGAGGTCGCGATGCTTTGAGTCTGGAACCGCTTCCGAGCAGCCAAATAACCAGAAGTGTCCTCGTTGTGTGTAGTTTCCGTTGCAAGCCATATTCCACGATAGAAAGACGCGAGAAGGTAGAACCCGAAGTAGGTGGGCGTTGTTTAAAACTTTTTAAAAAGGTGAACGTCACGTGTGCCGTTTCGCCTCTTGTCGAAACCACATCGCTCTGACCTTACTACATACCGCTCTGCGATGAAACCAGACCGCACAACGCAGTATCTGAGACGCACGGACCCGCTCTGACTCGCCTTGCTCAATGTTTTGCTCTACTCTCAGTCTTTTCGGCGTCATAGCGGGAAGAGAATTTCAGGACAAGATAGCAACCTTTCGTTGAAGCTGTCGCTTCAGAATCGTCACAGATAGACAATCAGGAGTATTGCGAGATCTCGCCACACTCGGCACGCCGTACGTCTCTTTGAATCCTTGAGATCTGAGCCATATTAGGTCTACGGCAGACCTTTAAAAAATTTCCTGAATTCCCACCGAGATCGCCGGTCCAGTTGATAGCTCTCAAAGCCGCGGATGGTGCGCTATTATCACTGTCTGCCGTTTACGCGCTCTGACGCACAATCATCCCAGACTGTAACTCGATCGGGTGGAGAGGGTACCTGGCATCGATCTTGCCCGTGTCTGGACGACCCTGAGCATATATCGCTCCACCGGTGCGTGTTCCAGCGGCTCGTCTCGCTCTCACTCTCATACTATCATGCCAGCCGTCTGCCCATTTCCTGAGCTACTAGACCCTCCTCGTCTTCTGAACAGCAAGGCATCACCTCTTCCTTGGATCCCCGCGTAGGGCTAATAGCCCGCATGCGCTAGTGCTGCTCTCCCCGATCCGACGCGAAGGGCTGGGCCTGGGCGGGTACGACAGCAAATGTCGCGCTCAGCGCGAATCCCGCGGCTTCTGCAGCACACGCAGTGTGCGTGAGCGCGTCATGCCGAGTCCCACTTCCGGCGGGCATGGTCCTCGTCCCGCGACCCACCCTGGCGCCCCTCCTCCGCGTGTGGCCCTACGCGTGGCGTGCTCTCATCGCCGCCGCAGAGCGCCACGCCGCGGCCGATTCGCTTACGTCGCCGCTCTCCGTCCAAACCTCAATCGATTCCCCTACGACGTCCACCCCCGCGTTCGCCTCCGGCTCGCCACGCATGCTGCAGGCTCCCTGCATCCCCCAGCCTTCCTGTGTTCCGCAGGGAATGTCCTTTGACGCACCGTGTGCGTCGGGGCGTCAGCTCTCCCGGGCTTCATGCGCGTCCCAGCGAGCTGGGAGCGCCTCGACTCCCGGCGTCCCTTCCTCTCGACAGGCGTCTCCTTAATTGGGATTTCCGACCGGCGACCTCGATGTTTTAGCGCACAGAGCATACGGCCCCTCCACCTGTCCGCACTCCACTATCTTCGCTCCTCAAGACTTTTGGCGCAAACCGCGCACGAGGACTGCTGTCCCCTCTCCGCGGTGGACCCTCAAAAGTGTCGCCGCAGAGACGATATCGCTATCTACGACCAATCGTGTCCCAGAAACCACCTGCGGCCAAACGCTGCACACCCGCGCGTCCCTCCCTACCGCCAGCGCCCGCATCGCGCGCGTCCGATGCGCTACCGCCGCCTCCACATCCATTACAGCGCGCTTCGGCATCAAGACATGGACGTTTCCGTCTATCCGCACAGGACGACCTCGTCCACATGCCCCGCCCTGCTTTCCGTCGCGCTGGCATGCGGTCCCCACCCCCCCTTCGTATCCTCGATCGTCCCGCCGCGAGGCCCCGCGCGCTCGAATACCTCGCGTACCCCTCGGCGCCTCCGCCCCGCCACGGATGGACTGGATCTTTGCGCGTAGCCTCAGCGCCAGCAATAACGCATGCTCCTGATTGCAGCGTAAGCACATCGCCATGGAGGCTGAGGCCCCCGTCGGGACTTGCTTCCCCGCATCCTCATCACGCCCCATCGCCTCTTGACACCTGCACCTTCCAGCGTGCAGCACTTCCGCTTCAGGTCCCCCGCCCGATGAAGCGCCCCGCTCAAGTTGACAGAGTTGCCGCTCAGCTACTTCTCCTCCACGACGCCCCGCCATCGCTATCTTCACCCACCGGAACCTCTCCACCAGCTTCCGCCTCCAGCCACCCGCCCGAAGACGCGCCTCCGGTCACGATGATCGCGGTGTACCGAGCTCCACTGCCTTTCCCTGCATCTCTGCGTCGGTGTATACTCGCCTGCTACGTCATCCCCTATCGTCCTCTCCCGCAGCTTCTATGCACGCGGACCGTCGCCCGCACCTCCACGGCCTCCTTTTCCTCATGCTGGCCTGTATGCGCCTCCGATACCAAGCTAGCGCCCCTCGATCTTCCAGCTGCAAGGCGCCACTCCCTCAAATCATCCCTCCGCCTCCGCCGCGCTGAGACCCCGGCGCCATGCCGCCCACCCACGGCGGGTCTCATCTCTTAGCTCCCGCGGGCGGCCGTGTGGATAGCGGCGACGGCTGTATCGGGATCTTCGCCCGTCCATCGAGCGTCAGCTGCGCGCCCTTCCCGCTTCGCTGCCACAGCCCAATGAGGCGCTGCCGCTCATGATGTCCCACCGTCCCAGCTCCATCGCCTCTCCCTCCGCCGGCGGTTCCCCTCATGGCGCTCGCCACGTCATCTCCCATCGTCGTCTCTTCATGCGTCTAGAACTTTTACGTCGGCGTTCGGTGTCATGGGCGAGCGCGGCGAACACGGTGACGGACGGTCCTGGCGCTCGCCTGTCTGTCCTCTGCGTCTGCAGATACCCGCCTGCCACGTCATCCACCCATCGTTGCCTGGATCCGGCCAACTTGCACGTTTCAAGAGATAGCAATGACGACGCTGCCACCGGTGCTTCCTCCCCATATCACGATGTACCATTACGTCGTCGTCGTCGGGCAGCAGCGGTCCTCGCGCGCGCGGCGAGACCTGGGCTTCCGCGTTCACCCGGGTCGAGATACTCTCAATCGCGGTTACGTTGTCGGTGCTCATGCCCCCGATGGCAAGCGGCTGTACTACCCATGGGGGTGCACGACGCGCCTCACGCCCTTCTTCTGCTCCCTGGTGTTGGAGGATTACGGTGACTCTTTGTGGTGCGGACGAGCATTGCTCCTCGAAGGCGGCGATGGGCTGCGGGCGAACGCGCGGTGCCGGAGGGGAACAGCGCGTAAGGGGGGGGCTGCATAGCGCTTGATGACGTTGCTCCCGTGGGACGCGCCCCTATGACGAGCGGGTTTTCACCTTATGCCTGCACCTTCAGATGCCATGGTCCGAGATGCACACCGGCGGCCGCCTTTCGTCTGCTACTCTTCTCCTTAGTACTGCCACCGGAGGCTGCGTCATCTTTCGGCGGCGGGTTGGGGCGCGGAGGAGCCCAGCTTCAGCTGCTCTACAGAGGACGCGACGAAATCTGGACGAGGGCGTGCTGTGGGCAGGGCCCGGTGCTGGGACGTTCGACTGCACAGCGCCTCTCTGAGACGTCTCAATTCCGCGAACCGGCGGCCTTCGTGCGCATTCACCCTGGCGTGGAGCTCGATACGCCTCGATCGCAGTTCTGCAGTCGAGGCCCACGCCCCGATTACCAGTGGACGTTGATCCCGTGCATCATGAGGACGAGGACATACTGGGGGCGGGGAGAGGTACACAGACGCGCGGTGTCTCATCTCAAGCGCAACGCCTATTCTGCTTGCTACTCGTGGTCTGCGGAAACCAGTAAATGCACGTCCGTCGTGATGCAGACGTAGAAGGGGAGTGGCAGACAGCGAGGTCTGGCGGCAGACAGGGACGGGTGGGGTGCCTACCCGCCTGCCTGGTCCGCTCCTTCGTCTCCGGCGTGTGCAGAGGCAAGGATATTGCGCAGAGCGCCTCCAACTCCCTTGGGTATACATACCTGCGCCTCCATCGCCGCGTGCTGCTCCTGCTCCTCGATACGCCACTTTCATCACTCCTGCACCGCGCAGAATGATTCTGCCCCTTTGCGATTCCGTGCGCTTTCCTTCCAATATTACCTTCTTCGCGCAGACTACGGACCCCGACGCTCTTGTCTGTCAGTGTTTAGGCCCTCCAGGGGACTGATCGCAATGCTCCCATAGGTGCTCTTCCCGAGGAGGGGTTTGCCTGTCGGGAAAAGAAGGCTTGGAGCGATATGTGGTATTTCGCAGCAGGGCACGAGGCGGGTGTAAGAGAACTCCCTCGTCGTATCACAAACCACGAATGGACATGGATGATCTTTTTTTCATAGTGGAATTGACTGTACATAAATAGTTCCCTGGAGCCTGCGGCGTCGCAGCGCAGCAAGGCGCAGAGTATTAGAAATGTCGAATTGCGCGCAATGCCGTTCATTTCGAGGCGCAAACTTGAGCTTGCTTCATGGTTGTGAATCGGAGCAATATTGAGCCCTAATTCACGCGCAAGCCCCAGGACAACTAAAGTTGAAGTCTTTTTGACTACCTTATTCAAAACAGCGAGAAAGAGTTCAATTTCACGCCGAGCGTATAGTAAAGAGACAAACGTCCCGCTGACAATAAGTTAGAGCTATCTCACCATCCATATAAAAAAATGATGAAGCATGGGGTTAGAAGAGAGTTTTAGGCTGCCACATGGACATTCCGGGGGCGCACACCTTCGCCGCTGTTCCCGGCGGACGTCGAGACGGCAGTGGTTGTGGCGCCATCTGCGGCAATGGCGGGAGACTCCATTTCGTGTTCCTGCGCCGGTTCCGTTGGCGTTTCCGGGCTGTGGGGCGGCTGTCGGGCAGCCGCATCGACGGGCACTTCAACAGCTGACGGCGCCGCAGATTTCCCCTCGGCGACGGAGCGCATGGACGACGACAAGAGCACAAAAAGCACGCCTGCCGTTAGGACCTCTGAGGTCATTACCGCTGATCCCAGTGCCGCCACCAA